CCGCATCCTTCTTGCTTTCTGGTATGAGTTGTTTCAGTGTTCTGTGAAGCATCATCAGTGATTCCTTCAGTCCATTTGGCAGATTACTCCCTAACCATGTTTGTCTGTACTGTTCGGAGATGCCCAGCAATCTGTAAAATTGATGCTCGTTAGAAAAATTCAGTCCGATCACAAAGCAAATTGCCATGTCTGATTGAAATTCACATCCAAGAATACACAGATGAGAGGCTCTGATACACTTGTAGTAAGACAAGTCATGTTTTCTATAAATACCAGAATTGGAAGCCTATGTGGACAGGTAAGATGTGTAACATGTACATAGAACCACTATATCTACTCCAGTATATTAAAAAGTCAAATGTTACATGTCAAATGCATAGTTTATTCAAACTTACTTGTTTGCTATATCTGTACGTGAAGTCGCTGATAGATTGGAAAGACCGACATTGATAACTGGATATCCGGCACCTGATTTATTGGGATTGAGACCCGATAAGACCAATGCTTTACCAACTCTACAAACAAATCACACCGCAATAACTGTTATAACATGTACCAATGATAGTAAAGAAACACACAAGCACTTTATAACATGTGCCAATGATAGCAAAGAAACACACAAGCACTTTATAACATGTGCCAATGATAGCAAAGAAACACACAAGCACTTAATAACATGTGCCAATGATAGCAAAGAAACACACAAGCACTTTATAACATGTGCCAATGATAGCAATGAAACACACAAGCACTTAAGCTTAACAGTGGCATTGTTGTAATATACTGATTTTCCTAAATTAGAATTACACTATACAGTTCTAATGGAGGTATGCTTCTAGCCGCTGAAATAAAGAATCCATGCAAGCAATGCAAAAATATACACACAGATTTTATAGTCACTACTAAATTTATTACATAGAAGCATGCATTGAAAACAATTTATAATGAGCCATTGGTTGTGCAACATAGTTTCAATCTGATCAATCATAGGTAAATGCCATAATACCTCTACTAAAAAGGCATCTCAAATATAAGTGTGTGTAAACAAGCAATGCACTAACTGTGTACCAAAACAATCACATACTTTTGTACTATTTATTTTGACTATAGACACACCTCAGTCATGTACATACGCACACGCATACATTACTATATGAGCAAATACTGTAATTATATTTTTATAATAAAGTGGAATGTCGTGTAATGAAATCTTAAAACAATTTTGAATTGTACTTTAAATACAAAGAGGATTTATAAAACCTTATTTCCCTATTAAGAATATATGTGCCAAACTCAAAATCATAATGTTTGAGAAAGATTAGACTTGAATTAGAAAGGACGCAAAGAAATAGAGGATGGTGACGACAGACATCGTAACCCTACATCCCGTATTACTGAAAAGGAAAAAACAAATTGTTTGCTTCATCGAGCAACAGTTCTGGATTGTTTTTTTGGTTCACTTAAATCCCACCCCCAAAGGTGGAAACATAGATTGTTTAGCTATGGTGTAAAGGATATCTAGTGTCAAGAAGCAAAATGTTGAAAATGTGAACAATGTCATTGACTTTAAGTACAGGTGGGTGGGAATGTGTACATTTCATGGTGTGACATACATACAAATGGAATGTAAGTAATTCTCAGACGCATATACTGTTACTAATAAATGAGGCAAAGATAATTACTTCTATGTTGGATTATCTTAAGAAACGTGACAAAAAGACTTTTTCTACAAAACTGTGAAATTATTAAATGTAGAATTGAAATTGGAATTTCCCTGAACAAACAAATAGTAATCAAAAGTGTAAAGAAAACAAAAAAATGAGTAAAAAGGGTTCTTACTTTGAGGTAAGTAGCAACAGATCTGTGGTGACTTGTAGTTCTGATAACAGTAGACTATTGTGTGTCGTTTTGACTGCCTTACTTAGCACATTCTGACACCGCCTTGCATGGAGAAGCGCTTTCTGTAATCAAACAGTATAAATAATTGATTACTGTAAAATACTTTATTTTAGCTGGAATTAATTTTCGCTGAAAAGACTTTTTGAGTGTTTTGTATGGAATTTATTTTCACAGAGTTGTGATGAGTTAAATGTAAAATATAAGGAAAATGGTATATTCGCTGGATTTTATTTTAACTGAATCATTTCTTCAGTGAAAATAGCAAAAATTAATTCCAAGTGAAAATAAAGTATTTTACAGTCCTCCCCCCTCAATAATATTGTCATTGATGTTGGTTAACACTTAAATTGTCACCTTTCATAAAATTATTTTTTTCATAAATTTTTATCAAGACCTCCAAGCAAAGGGAAAATAACATATAAAAGGAAGAAAATTTGTTCACGAAAATGTTTGAGGGAAAATCAATCAGAAAAAGCGAGAAAAGAAAATTTGTTTCAATATGGCTGAAATGTAATACTGTGGAATACTTTATTTTCGCTGGAATTAATTTTTGCTGAAAAGGCTTTTTGGGCATTTTGCTTGGAATTTATTTTCACTGATTTTTGATGAGTTTAATGTGAAATTCCTTCAGCGAAAATAGCAAAAATAATTTCCAAGCGAAGATAAAGTATTCTACAGTAATTTGTTCACCAAAACAATCTACAGTAAATGTTTGTGTTTATAGAATTTATAGAAATGTACAATTCTATAAACACAAACAATTAAAGTGGGGAAGTCGTCACCAGCACATGCAGCAGATGGTCATAGCTTGTTGTTGTTATATATAAACAAGTGTCTACCCATTTTTAGCATGTGTTGTTTTGTTGCTTTGCTTTAACTTCTAGTATTTGTTTTTCTATAACAATTGAAAACAGTTAAAACTCAAACACAAAAATAAAAATCCTTTTTAAGATGATCATGCTAAACTTTACTATTTTTCACCTGTATGCTTTCTGGTGTCAATTTTTCAATACTGACATCATCCGCCGATGTTAAAATTTGGTAGAGTAGAGAGCCCTCGTCTGGTGGTAAGTTGCCACACTCTGTGCCAGTGTAACCTTTTGATGCTCTTATAAGGTAAGTTTCCGCTCGTCCAACTTCTATGATGACTTGGCCAATCACTGAGCTGTGATCCATGTACACATGCTTATTTATTAAATCTGGTAAGTTAGAATGGATGAAATCCTACAAACAATGAAAACTAGTCAGATTGGCAATAAACAAATAAACAATTAGTAGGTTAATCTGAAAAAGAAATAAGATTATAGAAGATAATTGCATCCACCGTTAAACTATATATGTAATTAAGGTATTTGGAACAGTGGATAGAATAACGCTATTTTGGTAGCAAAAATAACGACTCTTAGCTCTCTCACTCTTAATAAGATCTGGGTGGCTATTTGCATCTTGTGAAAATTCTGTGCCAAAAGATTACAAATTTTAAAATGTGGTTTTCAGTGAAAAATAAGCAGAGATGAAGCATTTTGTTTCAATTTGCAGAAAATCCTCAAGTGTACAGTTCGCCAATAGAGGGCGCTGCTTACCAAACTGAGTTTAAAAATACTACCGATGCACTAACATAAGAGTTCAATGAAGGCTGAAAAGAAATTAAACTTGTTTCTTACCAAACGAGATGCATGATTCCATGATAATCCAGCCGCCGTAATATATCCCGGCCAGCTAAATGGTTGATGATTCAAACAACCAATGCCTGCCCAATCAGTAAGTACTAAGCCCAATGCACCATGGGACTGTGCACACATAATGGAATTAAAGATATTCCGGACAGAAGCTTCGGGGCATCCACCAATACTAAGA